GCTGGGCTGGTTTGGATAGTGAGGCCCTGGGTTCCAGGCTAGCTCCGCCGGCTGGTGTTTGTGCTGCCTCGGACAAGCCGCTCCTCCTGGGCCTCAGTTTCTTCACTTGTAAACCAAGGGAGTCCTATGGTCTCTGCTGAAGCCCCCCCCCCCCTTACTGTCAGTTCTCTGAGGGGGAAGCAGTTGATGGGGGCTCAGAGGGAGGGGACCAGTGACCCCAAGGCAGCGCCCGGGAGCTAGAGGGAGTCAACCAGAGAGGCCGGGGCTTGCGTGACCCCGGAGATGGAGCTCGGACACTGTGCTTGACGGGGCTGCCTTCTCCTCCAGGCTGCGGCGGAAGGCTGTGGGCCCACGGGGCTGCTGCTGGAGCACTCCTTTGAGACGGGTGAGGCCCAGGCACCAGTGAGGGTGGGGTGGGGCACTCAGGGGGCCCTGGTGGGGGTGCAGGGTGCTGGGGGAGGGGCACAGGGTTCCCCAGGGAAGCCAGAGGCCTGAAGATTCTTAGGATCTTGGGGGACACCATGTAGCCCTCACTGTTGTGGCCACAGCACACAGCCTCATTTAGATCTAGAAAAGGAAGTCTCAGAGGTGACCCCTCTGGGGAAAAGGGTAGCTCTCCCAGGATTCAAACCCAGATCCTCCACTGCACCCCAGGGGAACCCGCCACAGACTCGCTATGTGGCAGTGAACCAATTTTTGCCCTTCCCGGCCTCATTTTCCCTGTCTGTCAGACAAGGGGCCTGAGTTAGCTCAGTTCTGAGGTTCCTTCGAGGCCTGACCGGCTTCTGTCAGCACGTCACTGCGAGGGGGCAGCCCAGGGAGGACCGTGGTCTCTGAGCCCGAGCCCCCTTTCCCCCCAGATGACAGCGTCCACTTCCGGAAACGGGGCTCTCTGACGTGGAACGTGCAGGACGGGACAATCACCTTGACCCAGAGGCAGCTGACGGAGGATGAGCGGGGCAGGCTTCGGGTGAGGGGCTGGAGGAGGGAGGGGGGGCGGGGGGGGCCAGGCCTTGGGGAGTCTGCGAGGGGTCCCCAGGGCCTCCCCTCACCTTTCCCTTCTCCCCAGGACGTGGCAGCTCTGAACGGCCTGTACAGAGTCAGGGTCCCCCGGAAGCCGGGGGCTGCTGAAGGACTGGCGGCAGCCGGCCACGTCTCCTCCTTCGTCCCTGCGGTGAGTCCTGGGGCCGGGGGACTGCCAATACGATTCAGCCACGTCAGCCCCCAGGGAAGCCTTCAGCTGGGGCTGTGCTGACCATTGCCTCCGACCCCCACCCTGCCTGTGAGAGGCCGAGCCCAGAGACCCCTCGCACCTGGGCCCCACCAGGTCAGAGGAATGTGGACGGGTCTGCCCAGACACACCCTGAGTGACTGACCTTGGAGCCTGGCCCCAAACTGCGGCCCCCTGTGCCTTGGGGAGGGGGACCAGGAAGGCCCCAGAGGCCCGCCCCCAGTTATGGCCCCTCTGTGCCTTGGAGGGCAGGGGAGGGAGCGGGGTCGGGGGAGGGGCTGGACCTGGAGGGCACCGAGGGACAGGCCCGGTGACTCCTACGGGACCCGACTCATCAGGCTGCCCCCTGCAGTGTTCTTTGGTGGAATCCCACCTCTCCGACCGGCTGACCCTGCACGTGGACGTGGCCGGCAACGTGGTGGGCCTGTCGGTGGTGACGGAGCCCGGGGGCTGCCGGGGCCACGAGGTGGAAGATGTGGATTTGGAGCTGTTCAACACCACGGTCCAGCTACAGCCGCCCCTCACTGCCCCGGGGTGAGGGCCCACCTCCCCTCTCCATCCCCCGCGGGGGACACCTGTCTCTGCCTCCGGTGTCTGCACCGGCTTCGTGTCCCTCTGGTTCTTTGGGCTTTCCTGGATGTCCCGTGGGGTGGGTGGGCTGGCCTTTCTGTGGGTCTCTTCTGGCTCCCCAGTCTTCTCCCTCCTTCCCCTCCCCCTCCTTTCCCTCCTCTCCCTCCCTCCTTCCCCCCTTCCCTCCCTCCCCCCTCCCCCCTTCCTCTCCCTCCCTCCTTCCCCCCTTCCCTCCCTCCCCCCTCCCCCT